TGTATATATTTTTTATTTTTTTATTTATTTATTTTTTTACATTCTGTCAGTCAAAGTTCTTAGAAAGAAAATCTGAATCGACAAAACTATGATTTCCCCCCCCAAAAAAGAAAGACAAAAGAAATCTGAGGAATCTGAATCAGTGAAGAAAACTGTTATTGGTCCATCTGTACTGTAAGACATGAAGAAAAATCCAGTAACTTCTTCATGTTTCCTCAAATACAGTCAAGGTTGAAGCTGTCTTTAGAGGAAAAGCAAAAGCAGCAGAGACACCTCAGGACAACTAGAAACATGGACTAATGAGTAAGAATGTGGGAATTCTGGTTATAGTTGTAGCTTATTTTTTTAAAGAGGAAAAAAATAACTGGATGGTAACTGTGTGTGGTTAACACAGTGGATAGATGGAGAAGCCGTGGAAAATTTATTCAGAATTCAAGGAAACATCTAACCACATTTAATAGCTGGTTTGACCTTAATGAGATCATCATTAGTTTTAAAGCAGGAAACTGTGCCGGTGTGGTGAGTTAGAACGCAGAGTGAAAGCAAAGCAGCCAATCACAGCTCCGTGTATGTAAAAAGTCCTTGAAGACCACTATAAATGGTGTGCAAAGCAAAGCATTCAGAAGAGAATATTAAAGGAAAAAAAAGACAGAGACTTTGCTTCATGTACACTTTCTTCTTATGATTTTTCAAAGCCTTGATGTCTTTAGAATTGTTGTTGCCCGTAGAAAGTAAAAATAATGAACAGCCCTTTAGACCTCTGGCAGGTGGTGTGCAGACAAATCTACAAAGTGAGACAATTTTTTCCAAAAGAACAGAGCATCACGAGGAAAGAAACTGGCAGATCGATTATTGACAGTCTTATGTAAATTAGGAGATGCAGTCTTCCATCACTTTGAATGTTTTCAGTTATTATGCTTGAGGAACATTGAAACCATAAACCTGTCAGCTTCATGTCGTAGTGCTTTAGGAAGTATTGCCCATTACACTGATATCATATCACATTCTTTGCTTTTATTGAAAACAACAATTTCCTGAAATGAGAGACACTAATTTGGCTGTGAGCCGAGGTGAAAACTATTTTCTATTCATCTTAATGTACTTAAAGATAAGTGGGATTTTTAAATGTCACTTTACAAGTGGAACTTACTTGGAGGGCCTTCCTCGTCTTCATCACTTTCTTCGTCTTCTCTGTACAGGATGGGGCCATCTGAGTCCGACTCCTCCTCGCTGTCTCCAGGGCCTCCACCCTCAGGGATGACGGACACTCTGGGGTCTCCAATCAAGCCTCTCCTGCTGCGGGGCTCCAGCTGGTTGGACGGCTTAGGGGTAAGTTTGCGCATCTCCTCTTCAATGTCAAAGTCATCGTCTTCTGGCCTGTGAAGGAACACAGCAGCTGTTAAAGAGCAATAAGCCCACCCTGTCACAAATCTGCACACTGCATTTGGGAGCAATTGGGTGGGGTGCCATTATAAAATATTTGCTGTGAATTTGAAAACTACTTCTGCTTGAAATGCCCATCCCTGGTGCGCAGCTGAGGCAATAAAACAGATGTTGTTTGCCTCCATCAACCAACATCTGTTTGTACCGATTTGTATAGAAGACTCAAAGGTGTTTAATTTTGATATAACAGTTTAGCCACACACTATGTTTGCAGCAGCTCATTCAAACTTTGAATAGTTTTATTATTATGATGTGGTTTAAGCACATTAACCCACATCAAACTATTCTGTCATGAAGCTGTGTTTCCAAAATAAAGCCAAATGTGCCTCTTGATTTGTTATGCATCAAATCAAGTGCAAATGCATGTTCTAAATAGATAAATAAAAATAAAACGCAACAAAAGCTCCTGTGCCTACCCAGTGTTGGTCACTATATAATGAGTGCATAATGTGAAGCATATGGAGCACTTACAGCCTAAGTGGTTCGATGGTGACGGGGAGAGAGTGCCGTGAGTTACCCCCCACTTCTGTGGGGATCGCTGGTGGCGTCTCAAACAGCTGTGAGTGGGCTCTATGGGAACCGTCTGGGTTTGGCTGAGGTGCACCGGGACTGGCCAGAGCCCTAGAGATGCGAACATGTAGAGGGAGGAGTGGAGGCTGGCTGGGTGGCTCGGTGGTTGGGCTCGGCGGGTTAATTTGCGTCGTGGGGATGGGACCTGTGGAGGGGATGCTGGGTGGCTGGAGCGACTGAACCCTGGGGGGAGATGGAGGTATGTGGGAGGGCGGTAAAAGCTGAGGCTCAGTGGAGGTCTCAGGAACTGCTCCATTTGTCTTCTCCTGTGTGTTATTTCCTTTCAGGACAGCAGGGGGCACCAGAACTGGGGCAGGGGAGGGCTCACGGGTGGCAGACTCTGGGGTCTGACTGGGAGGAGAAGGATCCACAGAAAGGTGCTTGATGACAGGGGTTGTCCTCTTTGGTGGGGTTGGCGGAGAGCGTTTGGTTGGTACCGGGACAACACCTACACCAGAGCCAGCCTGTGAAAGCTCTGCTGTTAAAAAGAGAATCAACAACAAATCAGTACCTGTTATAAAGCATGATGACAACATATACAACCTATCATGAGCAGGTGAAGACGCACATTCAATCTGTAAATGAGTATGGTTAGTTTTATTAACAAAAATGAACAAAAAGCAAATCTGTCATTTTTAGTGAGGGAGAGATGCTCCTGTTAATTCAGAGCTGGCTGCTGAGTCAGTGGAGGATAACGCAGGTATTAGCTGTATCAGCAGGCTTTTAATGAACATTCCAGTGTGATGAACACGCTTAGAGCATTTTGAGAATTAAATGCCCACCACATTTCCATGCAGAGCTTTTTTTTTGCCATACATTAGCTGAGCTAAAAAACAGCTTCAACCACTACAAAAACACATGCGATGGAGGTCTGGGGTTAAATGAAGGTGAGGTATTCCCTGTTGTATGAAGTTTGTGGCTCTATTCCACCTCTCTCCAGGCTTTACTACAACAGACCAGGATTGTGGCGCCCCTCTGGGTACCTGAGCAGCACTGGCCAGGACTGTGACGCAGGTACAAGGGTAGAGAAAAGTAGAGGCCGAGCTCACTCTGGCGTCTCCAGCCGGTCCAGTAACAAGGCTGTCTGACCTTAGAGCCCCTGTTCAACGTGGAAGCTGGCAAAAATGAGTGGAGATGTCAGGGATAGGGCTGGGTTTACATTCCAAGTAGGGAGATGAATACGAGAGGGAGGGGGTTCAGATAATGGTTTCTTGGCTTTACTTTGCCAGAAGCAGAGTGTACATCCATCATTACACAGTAAACAACTTCTGTGGAAAATATCTCAGAGCAAAAGATAAGCACTTTCCTCGTTGCATTAAAAAAAAACAAAAAACAAAAAACAAAAAAAACACTAAAGTGTGGTGTGGTAGACGTTCCTGACAGTTCAGGGAATTAAATCACAGGGAAATGATGTTTTTTCTCATTTTGGCTGGCCCATCTGCAGCAGCTACAATCACATATACATATCAGCTGGACTCGCATATTATTATTATTATTATTATTATTATTATTATCATCATCATCATCATCATCATCATCATCAGCCTTCTTTAGCCTTTTTATTGCAGGTCTAAATTAAAACCCCAAATGTAAATATCAGTCTCAATTATTTACAGGGCAGCTGTGGCTACAACTGTAGCTGCCTCCACCCGTGTGTGAATGTGAGAGTGAATGAATAGTGGAACTGTACAGTGCTTTGAGGGCCCCGAAAAGCGCTATATAAATGCAATCCATTATTATTATTATTATTATCATCATCATCATCATCAAATGCACAATACTGGTCATTAAATGATTTACAAATCACACAGCATAGTTTTTAATATAACACAGCCTTAAAACGTTTAGAAGTAGGAACAAAGCATCATTGAGGGAACAGAAATAAAAGCTGAAAACAGAAGATGAGACCTTTTTGTTATCACAATCATATACTGCAGTAACGTGCAACGCTTGACAAAAGGCAGTGGAATGCGTCACTGCCACAGAGAATCAGCAAGTTTCAGATACAGTGCTGTAAACAGGAGCAGCTGTGGCATGCTGGGACAAAGAGATAAATACTAAAAGCCAATCCTTTTTTTTTTTTCCCATAAATCTGCCTTGTGGTGCAATACTGCTAATGCTGCATAAAAGGAGCAAGCTTGTGCGTGTCTCCTCGACTGAGAGTGAAACACCGAAACTTCACAACTGGTGACATACTGGAAAGCGCACACATCAGTGACATCCGTGAACAAGTACGGATATTCTGTATATCAGGATTACATCATGTTCAAATGGTGAAGTAAAAGCAGCACATTTACAACTTCAAATCCACTAAAGAGCAATTCTACTACTGTGGGCTTTTAATACTTTTAATGAGGTCTGAAACACTTGTATCTTTTAATTGCATATATCCCTACGTGAACTATCTTAATTGCCCCTTGGGGACAAATGAAGTCTTTCTGATTCTGAACTATGTGAGCCCATTGGCCAATAACAAAAGCTGACTGTAGTAAGGGTTTAGCAAACATGGAGGTTTGGGTTAGAGCTGCTCTGACTTAGAAAATACATTAACAACAATCATCTGCTGATGTAAAGCATGCCTCAACAAAGAGAGAAATTATCTGGAAAAGGTTGAAGTCATCAGTCTACATTCAGCCCATTGAAAAATGTCTATAAATGGAGACAACTTAGTTCTGTGGTCATTCTCTTATTAGTGGGATGAAGCACAAAGCTGATCTGTGACCTCAGAACAACAACTAAAGATGTAAAGGAATCATTTGAGTTAACTAACATGTCTGTTCATGACTGTATGCAGAGCCCTGATCAGGCATTGTTTTGTGTTTGTGTGATCCTGAATGTCAAAGTCAAGCTGGCAACAAGAATGACCTTGACAAACAACAGTCAGTGTTTGGATGAGCATGTGATTACTATGAGACAGTTTTCCTTATTTGTAGCTCTCTGTTGCAGCAAGATGTTTGGCTCTAGGCTGGCCTGGCTAAGTGCTTAGCTAACCTTTTCTGTAAGGACCAAAACAGAAAGAAAGAAAGGGGGGAAAAGCACTTCTATCTACTTATATGGACTATTTTCTATGGACTATTTTTACTTGCACATTACTTTTCTCAGTTTATACATATATTAAAAAAAATACCTATACTTTAATCTTAATAACTGTACAGTACTCTGTTTTTGTAACTATTTTCCAAGATGTAAATATTTTCTTCTGTAAACGTTGTGTATGTTTCTGTTCTGTTTGTATATGTGCTTTTATTCTGCTGCTGTTACAACCAAATTTTTCCTTGTGGGACAATTAAAGGATTATTCTATTCAATTCTTTCAGTTAGAATCACAATGTCTTTGAATTCTCTAATAGTCAAACCTGCAAGATCTAAATATGAAACAAAGTCATAATCACGCTGTTATTCATATACAAGTCACTGAACAAGGTCTTTTTCACAGCATCTATTTTAACGTGAACTACAGTTGTAATAATGACTTTAATGACAGATCGGTTCTATTAAGGCAGAGCCTTTACTATGGTAAATAGTATTTACCTAATGTTCCATGTAAATATGACAAATTAAACAAAGACTTTGCAAACATTTCCTTTCTAACAGCAAAAAACAACAAAACAGACTTGGGCCCTGTCCTATTCCAAGTAACTAAAACTGTCGAGCACCATGTATTTGCTGAAGTCTGTAGAAAGACTTATCTGGTCATATATAACATACCTTTCCCATAAACAACAGGGGAAAAACTCTGAAACACTCACTGATCTCCAGAGTTTGACCTGTGACCTAAGGAACAATGTCCACCTGCACCTGCTTTTCTATTAGAAAATGTTTCCATTATTCTATTTTCCCACCAGAATTACCACTACTACAGTCAGCAACAATTTAAACCCAGCATTGAAATGTCATTTAATAGCCTCTTTTTCTATAAAACCAAAACATCTTCCCTCTGTTGTCTTTGTACTTGCTCCTAAAAAGGCCATTTTGGGATTTTGTTTGATGAATCCTGTAAAAACAAACAATGTAAAACTGCAGAAGCAGGCAACAAACTCACCAAGCAGTGCAGGGTTGCTGTTGCGGTTGGTGGGTTTGGGTGGGGGGACAGGAGGTTGTTTGGCATGGGGAGGAATGGGGGGCGGTGTGTCAGAGTCAGTTGAGGAAGCAGCAATGAGGGAAGGTCGGGAAGTGTCATCTATAATTAGGGACACCGTCCTTGGGGGTTTGGCTATAGATACAGCAGCAGAGGAGGAGGAAGAGGAAGACGAAGAGGATGAAGACGAGGAGGGGGTCGGACTCTTGGTGGACTCATAGATAGGACTAGCAAGGAACTTGGGGGGGAGCAAAGCTTGTTTGGGTGGGAGAGGCAACTGCTGTGAGTCCTGTGTTGGAGGAGTGTCAGGGGTGAAGCGGACACCAGCGGACTCTACAGAGGGGGTAGACACACACACAAACACACACACACACACACATTAAAGACAAGGTCACAATAAGCTGCTGCATAAACACAAAATGCTGCTGCATAAACAGGAAACATGAAAGGGAACGCTGAAGGAGAAGCTGATGCCCGAGTCAGGCTTATAAAATAATAGAGCTTAACCAGAGGGAGGGCAGCTCGGATCAAGGTTCTGCAATTATTAGAGGATGAGAGGCGACGTGAATCACATAATGTAAAAATCACACACAGCAGACAAGGAGGAGGATCAAAGATGCACAGAGGGGTCTTAATGATTTGTTTTCCCGCTTTTCGTGTTCACCTAGATTCATGTCTCTAAGCTCAGCAGTTCATCTTCATTAGCCCATCAAAATGACGGTTTAGTCATTTACTAAAATGCCTTTGCAACACCATCAGGACACTGATTAGCAGCGGTTTCATCATAACTAAGCATCCACTGATTAAGAAAACAGGCACAGACACAAGAAATTACATCGCAGATTCAAATTGGTTTTATCAACTAAACAGATACGACAGCAAATTTGAATTGCCATCATATCTGTTGGTCGATAACAAAATATCAACCAACAGATAATTTAACTTGCAGACAAAAATGGTTCAATTACAATAAACTGCCTTGGTATTAGTCCACTTGAAACATTTAAGTCACTACAAGCTTAGTAAGTAACTCCTTTTCCCTACATGAAATGCAGATACAGAGGCTCTGGAAGTGCCACTACACTGATGCAGAAGCAAAAAGTTGTTTAAGATGAAATAAGGCTGGGTGAAGCAAAATCATTGTTCTTACACAATATGGAAAACTTGCGGCTTGTGAAATCCAGACATGTGCTACACACACTACTGCACTCCCAACAACTACTCACTACAGGCCTACAGGGGTTATTCAATTTAAAACAATTAATTAAAAAAAAAAATCAGTGCCTACAACGTGAATCAGCTGTCTTTTGTACAATAACTTTAGTATATTTTAAAAAAGGCAGGCAACACGTCATCAGAAAGCTGAGCATCTGTACTGCAAAACTGCACAATTTCAGGATGTATTTTTGATAATTCACTGCAGACAACTTCAAAAGGTGCATTGTGGGTAAACCTTTCATGATCAGATCACTGTGTGCTGGCTCATGTCCAGAGTGACTGCTCTTTACTTGACACAGAAAGCTCAAGCACATCAGTGCCGTCACATTTTCATGAAATCGCAATTGTCAAAAATGGCCATGTTGCTCATAACGTGACAAAAGGTTGAAATTAAACCTGCAAACCACACCTTAGCATATTTTGTGTTGAATTGTGGTTTTCATTCCTTGAGCAAGTAGAAGGTCCAATTAACATTTGGTGAGTATGTAAGAAATATATTTTGACACAAAAGGAAGCTGAAAGATGAGACTAGTATCAAGAAGTAGGTTAAAAGGAAACCATCCGTTTACTGTAACATGTTCTGGCCAGCCACCTAAACCAAATGTTGTTATAGACGAACTTTCAGTTTGTCCGAAATGCACTTTTTCAAGTTTCCTTCAGTGAGTTATCAAAAAACAGATCAAACAACTTGGGTATCACTAAAGGCTTCTGAGAGAGAGACCTCACCTGATCGTTCTCTGAACTCTGCAGGGGCTGCGTATCTGGGCAGGGTGCTCCTTCGGTCAGACTCTGACGCAGGGCGAACTTTCTTGCTTTCCTCTGAGGAGCTCTTCTGGAGAGGAGGCCTCAAGTCAATCTCAGAGGCAGGCCTGATGGTAGGCTGAAAGTTGTCCACAGACCGCTGGGGTCCTGGCCTCTCTCTCTCATTTCTTTTGGCCAAGTTATCCCGTTTGTCCTCCCTCTCTACTCGAGCATCTTTCCTCTCGTGGTTTTCTCTGTCCCTGTCATCTTTGTTCTCTCGCCAGTCTCTCTCGGGACGCCGATCCCTCTCTTCTCTCCTGTCTCTGTCATCCCTTTTTTCTCTTTCGTCACGCTTCCTATTTTCTCTGTCCTCCCGCTCGCGGCGTTCTCTTTCATCCCTGTCTCTCCTTTCCCTGTCGTCCCTATCCCTCTTGTCCCTCTTGTCCCTCTCTTCCCGCTCTCGTCGTTCTCTTTCATCTCTGTCTTTCCTGTCCTTCTCTTCGCGGACTCGACGCTCCCTCTCATCCCGATCCCTCCTTTCAAGGTCCTCCCGATCCCGCCTCTTGTCCTCGTCGCGGTCCCGCCTCTCACGCTCGTCGCGATCCCGCCTCTCACGCTCATCCCGGTCCCGCCTCTCACGTTCGTCCCGGTCCCGCCTCTCACGTTCGTCCCGGTCCCGCCGTTCTCTGTCTCTATCTGTCCTTTCATCCCTCCATTCTCGCCTTTCTCTGTAGTCTCTATCTTCTCTCCGGTCAACTCCACCATCCCTTTCTCTTTCCTCTCGCCTATCTCTTTCTTCCCTGTCCTTCTTTTCATCTCTGATGTCTCTTCTCTCATCTCTACGGTATCTATCATCTTGTTGAGACCCTCGAGGTAGAGTTCCTCCTTTCTTATCAATATCTGATGGCAGACGGCTTCGTTTGTCTACATCAACAGCGAGCCGTGCATGAGTGTCCACATCCAGCGGTGCCCGGTTACTTCGAGAAGCGTCAGACGGAACTCGGTTACGACGTTCATCTAGTTGGGGTAGCCTGGAATTCACCTTAATGTCCGACTCCCCTCGAGACACTCGCACCCCCGCCTCTGAGAACCTGTCCACATCCATTGGCACAGGGTGACCATTTTTAACTGGTGGAGCTTTGGAGTGGTTCACTTCATTACTCTCTGTCAAAACAGTGAAACAAGTGTCATTAAAGTTGGATCCAGTTCAGCCACAGAATGCGTATTACAGGTCTACCTACCGTTCTCTGGCTCGTCCTTTAGAACGCCTTTTGCAATTAACTCTTGGCGGCTTTTCCTAACTGAAATCTTCCTCTCCAAAACTAAAACAAAAAGTAAAACCACATACACTAAGCACGATGTAATGATTTACACAACATGCAAACGCGACAAAATCCTGTAGTAAGCCTACCTATGGATGTTTCTGTGAACTTGTCACTTGGCTTCTTCTTCCTCCATTTCCAGGGCTTGAAGATATTTCCCATTTTGGGGAACTTGCCTTTGCGTTTAGCTGGAGGCGTTCCTCCACCAGAGCTGCCTTCCTCACCTCCTTTTGTGCTCTGTTGTAGGTCAACCTCATCATCTGCATGAACAGGACACAGAAAAACAATTTCAACTCATGACAACACCCTCACACATTAATCCAGTGTCACACCTATCCCTTATTTTGAGAACATACAACCGTCTAATGTAAAAACTAAACAGTCTTTACAGGCTGCACCAGTGCAGTTAGATTTCAAATGTAAGGCAGGGCTGCCTTATTAACTGCCATAATGAAAACACTAACCTCTAAACAAGTCTAGTCCAAATTCCACTCCTCCACCTCCTACTATTTACAGGGTGGTGTGAATTAATGTGATTTTTTTTTTTTGCCACTAAGGTGACAGTGGGGACTCAAGACCATGTGGTATCTCCTCCATTTGTCACACCACCACTATCAAACTGAAAACTTGAGATATTCTTGGCTTTAAGGGGGGGGGGAGTACATATCTGAGTCAGAATTGGTAAATGGACTGATTCTAAAATAGCGCTTTTCTACTCTCACTGAGCACTCAAAGCGCTTTATACAACTTGTGCATTCACCCAATCATACCCATTCACACAAGCACTTTATCTAAGGTTTTTAGTGCTTCTATCTAGCATTCACTCGCATTCACACTCCAATGGATGCATCGGAGGGCAACATGGGGTTAGTATTTCGCCCAATGATATTTGGCATGTAGACTGGAGGAGCCTGGAATCGAACCACCAACCTTCCTGTGAGTAGGTGACCGCTGTACCACCTGAGCTACAGCCACCCCCATTCTAGAACAGGAGCATTCCAGAGGAGGTGTTTTGAAAATCCCGAGAAAGCCATAAGTGGGTGTGAATCTACCATTATAATTCTTAGGTGGTGAGTCGGCAGCAGTTATAACTGTTACACAATACTGCACTGGAGCATGGCAGACAGTGACAGGAAGTCCTGTGGTATTTCAATGTTTAATGTCCCTGAAAGGAATATTAAAATGTGCTTATTTAGCTGTAGCGGTTACACTACACATTTTATGCATCCCTCTCTACTATAAATGAGTTCATTTTATATTTTGGCAGTCAATGACATACCCAACAAGTTCCTTCAGGAACAAGTCCAGAAAGAATTTCTCAAAAATGCTATACTCAGCATTTCGGTTACATTTCACACTCAGCCAGACCAGGCAAAGGTCAAACTAACAGATCAGCAAACTAGTCATTAGTCACCAATTCAAAATTCTTATAATTGTCTTATCTCAATATACCTCACAGTGAGACACTGAGCTATGACCGGTGTGGCACAGGGTTTAGATAAATGTGGCCACTGGTCAGAGTCCTCAGAACATTGTGCTCCACCCCCGAGGGGAATAAAAGACAAAAAGTTCGAAAATCTGGATAAAATCCTGGAGGGATAATGCAGAAAAATCAGTACTGGATGTCCATGATCGTTGGGCACCAAGGCCCACTGCGTTAATAACAGAAATGATTCTGTGACGATAATCACTGCAACAGCTCAGGAAATCACTCTGTCTAACCACAGTTTGCCATGCCATCCACAATTTGAAGCACTGTCATGGAAAGAAGAAGCCATATGATCCAGAATCGCCAACGTATTCTTGAGGCCGAAACTCATTTAAAATGGACCGAGGCAAAGTGGAAAAAACTGCTCTGTCATAAGACCAATGAAAATTTTAAAATGGTTTGGGAACACATTGATGCTTCTTGTAATTAACACTCAGTCTATTTGTGTCTATAAAACTGGCAGATCTGGAAAGGCACCTTCAATGGTAAAAAGCACACACAGGTTTTTGAGCACCGTATGATGCATCGAGACAATGTCTTTTCTTAGGGAAGACAGCAGCACATACTGTAAGTATAACAATAACATTGTTTCATAGGAGGGAAGTCCAGGCACAGTGCTGGATGGGTTTATACTATGATTAGCAGAGACAGCTACCTAGACAAACTATTAACTTTTTAAAATGTGTTTTTATGTGCATTAAAGTTATATAAAAAGTTAACAGTGAAAATGCAAATCCCTTGCTAACAGTTTAACCAAAAGGCATTTCCAGTGGAAATTGGCCGACATATCCTCAGCATAACCATGTATAATACCCACAAAACTTAAGAGGTTATACACACACAATACGGTAATATTATGTTGAAGCATAGTACGTATCACTCCGCGAGGCTCCTGCCTACAATAGCCGTAATGCTCCGACAATCCATCAAGCGGTGCGGGTTCGTAGCTTAGCAAAGTCGTACTAAAAGATAATAGATTTTCGAGCGCCGTGTACGACATAAAATCATTTCCAGGTCAGTAAACACAACCAGAATTCATACATAAGGCACACGGGATTATAAGGGGCACTGTCGATTTTCAGAAAACTCAAAGGATTGATTTTAAGTGTGCCGTATTTTCCAAACAACACGGTAATAACGACGGCCCGCTAGCATGCTCTACCAAAAATAGTGCTTTGTTGTGT